ACGCTGGGGCTTCAGCCGTCCGGTCGGCTTTTGACCGAGCGTCCGGCCCGCTTCAGTAGCCGTTGAAATCGACGAACATCGTTTGAAGTGGTGACGCGTGGTGTCCATCAGGCGACCGGGGCCGAGGGGCAGCTGTTCGGTCGGTATGACCCGGAGCGTCCGGTCGAGGCGTGTTTTGCCTTGATGAAGGGTACAACGGCTCTATTTGATGGGGGCTCTATTTATAGCCCCATGGCCGCTCAAGGAATCTCTCTTGCACATTTTCATTGACATAGCAACCTTGTGAGCTTAGCCAAAGCCCTCCCACTCATCTCCATCATTGATCCATCATCATTGTGAGATTGGGAGAGAATCCAAGTGCATTGCTTGAGTGATTGCATCTAGTGGCACTTGGTATTCGTGTTTGTTCGCGGATTTCGCTTGTTTCTCTTGGTGGTTGCCACCACCTAGACGGTTGGAGCAGCGGTGAAGGATCGGCACGAGTTGGTGATTGTTCGTGGCCGCCTTCGGTGATTGTGAGGGGAGTTGTACCTTCCCCGACGGAGTGCCAAAAGGTAACTCTAGTAAATTGCTCGTGTCATTGAGTTACCTCACTTGTGGGTCGGTTCTTGCGGTGTCCTATCGTGTGGACGAGGTTTGTGAAACACCTCTTAGCCGCCGAACCACCAAGTGTTGGTCGACACAACGGGGACTAGCGTGTTGGCAAGCACGTGAACCTCGGGAGAAAAATCGGTTGTCTCTTGTCATTCGCATTCTCCCGGTGATTGGCTATATATTCATCGTGTAATTGGTTCACTCCACGACCCGGCGGTATAATCGTCTCACTTACTCATTTACATTTCCGCAAACTAGATATAGCAAGCTCTTTAGTGTAATTAGAATTGAGAGCTTGCCTTGTGCTTTAAACATATCTAGTGGAGCTCTTTAGTGTAGCTTTTGTGAGAGCTCTTAGTGAGTAGTGGTCAAGTAGATTGTGTGCAAATAGATCATTGCAACTAGAATTGTTGGATAGGTGGCTTGCAACCCTTGTAGAGCTAGAGCAAGTTTGCATTTCGCTATTTGTCTTACTAATCAAATTGCTCTAGTTGATTTGTAGTTTTTAAATAGGCTATTCACCCCCCCTCTAGCCATATTATGACCTTTCAGTGGCGAGGTAGGCCACCACCCTTCAGCGCCAACTTGGACCGCTTGCAGTTCCTCGCGAGGTGGCGGAGTCCGCGGCAGCGCAGGCAACCGTCAAGTCGTTACTCGGTGTGAGTAAGAGAGGCAGTTGAAACATCTATCGCGGAGTTGTGCGGGGATCTTCCGAGCCAGTGCGTGTGGACCTGGGCCACGGCGGGGCTCAACTGAGGTAGCCGCAAGTGCCGCCTCCTTTCGGGGTAGGATCTCCCGCCACCCATCGGCGTTAGGGGTAGGGATCCGTCTGCGGGCACCGAGGCATTGGTGGGCAGGGACCCGACTGTCCACTGGACGAGCAGGCAAGTCGTGCACTAGCTAGGGGCGCGGCCGGCAGTGCTTCCTCCGCCTAAGCATAGGTCCCTGTCTAGCGTCCACTCCGCCGTGCCCCAGAACCGCGACTGAACGAGTCTGGGGGCACACGGGGTACGTAGTGGCCGGCTTCGCCGGGCAACGAGCGACCTCTAGGTAGGTCATGGGGTGGTCATCATTGCTCTCCTCGCCGTCGTCGTCCGCCCACCGCCGACTCTTCATACATCCTCCCGAGGAGCATCCTGGGAAGAACGGTGCCGCGGCCGGTGAGAGGGAGGAGCTTGGAGCACTGGTGATGCTGCGCCAGGGCCCCAAGGCACGGACGTGGCCACGGTGACATTGGCATCCAGCCCCAGTGGCGAGGGGGTGGGGAAGCGCCAGAGTTGGCCCCTCGGCTGTCAGTGGTGCGGTCGTGGTGGCGTCCGTGGCGGCGTCCTCATTCCCCGAGTGGCGTATGGGGCGAGCGGTTGTTGATGGCGGAGGCAGCATCCAGCGATCGTTGAGGGGTCAGCGATGGTGCGGGTTCATGAGCGGCGGCGGCGGCGCGGCGCTTGGTCACCCGTGTGAGCGCGCCGCGTCGCGTCGGCATGCCGCCTGGCCTGGCGATGGAGGCAGCGTCTGGCGCGGTGTGGCGGCGGGCGGGATCTCGGCGCCATTCTTTGTTGAGGCCCGAGATTGAGGTTATCTCTGCGGGCCGTCAGATCCGACGGGATGGAGGCCGGGGGCCGCGGCTATAGGGCCCTGCGGGGGCGACGTCGGCATGGTCTGGATCGACCCCCGCGGAGCTCCAGACTCTGCGATGCCATTAGTGGTGGGCAGGGGGGAGGGGAAAGGGAAGGGGATAGGGAAGTGGGGGAGGAGGAGGAGGTGGGGGGCCGTCGGCGGCGGCGGGGTTAGGGCGCTAGGGTTTGGTTTCCTGGCGCCCGCACATGCCTGACTGTATGGGCCGGGACGAGGCGAGGCGTGAGTGGTGGTGGCCGCGGCTGCGTTCGGCAACACGGCCTAGGCGGGGACTAGGACGGTGGCGGCGCTCGGCGAAGCCTAGAGCAGCGGCGGCACGACGCAGGGCTAACTTCTCCGTGAACCATACTGTGCAATTTTCAAAAAAAAGAGAGAGAGAATACAAGGCTAAACAAGCCAAGCCGCTTAGGTAGTTTGACCTTTTTTTATAGTAGGGAAATAAAATACAGCTTCATCTCTTTACAACCACTTCGTGAACTTATGGCCTGTTTAGTAGGACTTCTCTTGCGCTCTGACTTCTTCGTGGTTCCTTCAAAATGGCTCCGGTTCCTTCGTGAGGAGCCCTGCCAAAGACCCTCTAACATTTGAGGGAGCTTCACCAAAACCTTGAAAAAAAAACTCCTTTACCAAAGAAGGGCCCTTATTAATTTCTCTAGTGTTACAACGCCTGCATGCTAGTCTTGCTTGATGCTGACTCACGTCAACCACCGTAGCGGAACTACCAGAAACAGTAGCTTTGCCGTATGCCCTGGGCACACAGCAAAGCCTAAAAAATACTCGGCAAAACATTTTTCAAGTATTACACTCGGCAAACCATACTCGACAAAAAAACACTCGGCAAAGCTGTCTTTGACAAGTGTTTTTTGTCGAGCACTCGGCAAAGACTTTACCGAGTGCTAAAATCGACACTCGACAAAGACTTTTCGAAAAAATATAAAAAAACCACCGCTGCCCTCCCGCGGCTCCCCCCGCCGCCGCCGCAGCATAGCAAGGTTTCAGTTGTCGGAACGCAACCCCTTCCTCGACTGGAAGTACTCGCTACTCACTTGTTCCAGCATGGGGTGGGTGTGGGCAGCAAAAACACAGGACGAATGGCAGATGAAACTGAGCTGAGCAGTAAGAGAAAAGAAAACCCAAACTTTGAATCTGAAACCAAAGCGCACCCCAAAAAAAACATGACAAGCATCAAACCAAACCATTCAGATAGACAGAGCAAGAAAGAGGAAAAAATGGGGCAGAGGATAAACGGAAAGCAGGCATGGAGAACAAGGGGGCCGTTCTTGAGCTCCCATCCTAGACAGACAGCACTCGATGCGGTGAGCGGGGAGGGCAACAACAAACAAGAAGAACATCCTGTATTTTTCCCACGAGGAAGGAAGAGGAACAGGATTGAAGGACGCTGTTGAGTGCTCACCTCTGCCTCTGCCTGTCGCTCGCTTCTTCTTGGAAATCTTGGGTCTCCTCCCTCTCTTTCTCATCAACTGTGTGCTGCTGCTGTGGGTACAGTGAGTCTCCTCCCACTCCGAAGTCCGAACTGAGTTCCCAGGCTCGCTTTCGCTTGCTTCTATGGCGGGGTTCGGTGCGGCCGCTGCTCTAAGATTATAAGGTTGTGAGTTTGCCGAGTGCCAGATCAGGATAGATCGGGACACTTGACAAAGCCATATCTTTGTCGAGTATGGGCAGAGTATATTCAGTAGTTAGCTATAAAATAAGTTATTCTGTAGCCACCTCTATTTACGATAATTTTATATACTAATTTACGATAATGTCAATACATATTTACGATAGTTGGGTTACTATAACACATGAGGATATTTACCGTAACGTTATAGTAAACCACTTAGTAAGAAGTTGCTATAATCTTATAAATTAACATAATAATTATCGTAACTCAACATGGCTACAGAATAAGTTATTTTGTAGCCAGCTACAGGGTAGTTATATATATATATATATATATATATATATATATATATATATATATATATATATATATATATATATATATATATATATATATATATATATATATAAGAGTATATTCAGTAGCCATCTACAAAATAAGTTATTCTGTAGCCACCTCCATTTACGATAATTTTATATACTAATTTACGATAATGTCAATACATATTTACAATAGTTGGGTTACTATAACACATGGGGATATTTACCATAACATTATAGTAAACCACTTAGCAAGGAGTTACAATAATCTCGTAAATTAACATAGTAATTATCGTAACTCAAAATGGCTACAGAATAAGTTATTTTATAGCCAATATATATATATATAATAGAGAGAGAGAGAGAGAGAGAGAGAGAGAGACGTGCGACAATGTATTGGGATCGGGAGAGAGGCTATGCCACATTATAGCAAGTTTGGTTTTTTAGGGGCGGATTGAAAGGGCTCCCGGCTCTAGATTCTCTATGAAAATCGCTCATAGACAGCTAAATAGCTAAAAAACTCAACTAATTATGTTGTTGTATGACGCACAGTTTTCTGCTAATTTCAGCTCAACAGAGCAAAAAAGAACTAGAAGAAACGACTAGAGAGGCTAGAGCGGCAGTTGAGCTGACCATGACCACACATACATACAGAGCTTTCTCGTTGGTTCAGGGCCCAATTTGAGGCTGAACCCGAACGAAATCCCACGAAAGCCCATAAAAGCCTTTCGGGCCACCCATTTGCAAGCCGAAGACGCGACCGACCTCAACTCACCGCACCCAAATCCCAAACCCTAGCGCGCGCACGCACGCACGCACGCGGCACCATGGCGGCGGCGGCGGCGCAGCAGAAGATCCGGTGGGGGGAGCTGGAGGAGGACGACGGCGGGGACCTCGACTTCCTCCTCCCGCCGAGCGTCGTCGTCGGGCCCGACGAGAACGGCATCAAGAAGGTCATCGTGTACAAATTCGACGACGACGGCAACAAGGTCAGGGTCACCACCACCACCCGCGTCCGCAAGCTCGCGCGGGCGCGCCTCTCCCGCAGCGCCATCGAGCGCCGCCAGTGGCCCAAGTTCGGCGACGCCCTCAAGGAGGACGCCGGCTCTAGGCTCACCATGGTCTCCACCGAGGAGATCCTCCTCGAGCGACCCCGCGCCCCAGGTCTCGATCTGCTTGCTACCTGCTTCCGTTTCGAGTATCCTCGTCGTCTGTTCGTCCGATTGCTAGCAGCTAGGCACGATCTGTCTGGGTCGAATGTTCCGATTCGATTCTTAGTTCTGCAATTGCAGCTAGATGCGGCCTTTGTGAAATTTGGGGATGTTCGGATCGTTTTATTAATACTATGTCCATCTAGTCTAGGTCTAGGTACATGGGGATTGGAACACGATTCAATTCATCGCCTTAGATGGTGCAAGAATTTTTTCGTGGAACACTGATTAAAATTAGCATTTCATTCTCACCTATCATCATCGTTATTTTGGTCATACATGCTTTTCTTGGTACTTTAAGAGAACTAGAATCAATACCCATTATATGAAATCATGGCAGTTCAGTTTTTATTTTTATTTTATCAAGGCTCAAATTCTGTTTCATAGTTCAATGATTGTGATTCGCATATGATGATGTTGGAGCACTATTTCGGTATGTTGAAGGATTGTTTTGTTACAACTTACATGAGCTGACAGTATGCCTTGTTAATGATGAATTTATCTTTTTCTTTTGTGTTTCTCCATGTTATGAGGCCTTAAAAACCAGTCTGTTTTAAACTTTGGTTCTTGTTCGCTAACATCCCCGTTAATTGTAGGGAGCAAAGCTGAGGAACCAGCTGCATCCGGTGACCCGCTGGCTATGGCGAGCAAGGGAGGTGCTGTTCTCATGGTTTGCAGAACCTGTGGGAAGAAGGGCGATCACTGGACCTCAAAGTGTCCCTACAAGGACCTGGCACCACCGACTGAAACTTTCACGGACAGGCCTCCTACGTCCGATGGCCCTCCTGCACCAGGCGGTCCTGTGAAGGGAGCATATGTTCCCCCAACCATGAGAGGAGGCGCTGATAGGACTGGAGACTCGATGCGCCGCAGGAACGACGAGAATTCTGTCCGTGTCACCAACCTCTCGGAGGACACCCGTGAGCCTGACCTCCTTGAGCTCTTCCGCTCGTTCGGCCCTGTCAGCCGTGTCTACGTCGCGGTGGATCAGAAGACTGGGTTGAGCAGGGGGTTTGGGTTCGTCAACTTTGTTCACAGGGAGGATGCGGAGAAGGCGATCAGCAAGCTCAATGGGTATGGTTATGATAACCTTATCCTCCGAGTCGAGTGGGCGACGCCAAGGCCCAACTAGTTTTGCCGCTACTTTGCTAGAATTGCATATTTCTGTCTTGAATTATATCAGTTTGGTTGTTTGAAATACTAGTACCTGAGCCATGAGTGTATCATGTCGTAAAAACCTGCTGTTGTGTGTGTTTTGGTAGGACGAGAATAATAAACTCGCTACTGTTTTTATTTTGAGTTCGTATATCGTTTGTTGCAGCAAACTTTATGTGCCTTAAAGTAGTTATGAGGATTGTATTTATTTAGGATGACAAAGCAATGACCCCACTAGCCTGCCTACTTGGAATTTGGAACTCATGGTTGCAAGACTGACCTTGCATGGACATGAATTTAGTCAGACTAAAACAAAGCATCATCCTTTTGGTCAGCTATGAATTTAGCCAGACTAAAACAAGGCATCATCCTTTGGGTCAGCTATGGTGGATCAGATATTTGAAAATCTCATTAGTAACTAACATCTCATTGGATCAAAATAACAACAAACTACTCCCTCATAGTTAAATGTCATCAGAAGAACTATACAGCAACCAACAGCCCACTGCAGTCTGAAAACTTGAAATGAGTTAAACATAGCATTTTGGTTTCAGTTGAACAATGCTATGTTCTTTGTTTTTTGAGTCACATTTTAGACAGATTTCATCAGGGGTTTGCTCAAAGGGTCTACGCATCAACTAAGGCGTATGGTGAATTCGTTGTTGGTTGCCGTGGATCAGCAAGATTAGGCAACTGAGAAGTTGTTCAATTACATTACAAAGGGAACCCATCCGCCAATTATCACAGCTGTTGCACTAAAACACCATTATGCTACTCTGAAGTTGTACTCCTGTGTTTTCTGTGCTTAGCAAGGCCTTTGTGAACCTGGCCAAGAACAAGAGCCCAAGACACGTGATGATTTATCAGGGTAATTTCAGAGTCATGCACCTGACCAGAGCTGTTGGTCATACTAAAGACACGGCTCAGAAATACGACGAACATCAAACCATCGTTTGATATAGAGAATGCTAGTTCAAATTTGGACAAAACCTACACGAATGCCGCTTACTCCATTACAGGCACACACAACCCCAGATTTAGGTGTCAAGGAAATACAATCGTAAGAGCAATCCCAGCCAGATGGAAATACAATCGTAAGGAAGGAACACAGAACAGAGGGCAGAGCTCATACAGATGCTGTACTGATCTGAGCAGTCCAGGTGAGTACTGCCACTGAATGGCTTCATGCAAAGTGTCCAAATTGTTTATATCGTCCCTGCACGAATGAACAGTGCAAATGCGGCATGGTTGGCTGGACCTCGAGGAACAGACAACGGTCCGTTGTTCCGCTGCACTACCTCAGCAATACTTTTTAGCGAAAAAACAGTGTTTTTTCGAAACAAATCAGCATTAGCATAAGTCAAATTTCAGCGAAACCAATAAGGCCACGTGGGCATGGGGAGCGCATGGCTTGGAGCTCCAAAGTTGTCGAGCAATACTGTGCCTCCGATCCATGCCGGGCTGACGGAAAAACCAGCTGCGGCGGAGGTGGAGCTGGAGGCTCCCGCCACCCTTGTTGAGGTTGGCCAACGAGAGAGGGCCGGCCAGGTGAGGTGGCCAGCGCTGCCATCTGGCAGAGATCCCCGTCTGGAGTCTGGATCGCCTCTCCTCAGGGAGAAGAACCTGCGTGGGAGAAGGAACGGAGTACTTGCTGCCATATTCCAGCCAGCCTTTGGTTGCACAAGAATAGTGGGCATCCAGATTACGAATGACGTTTGGAACAAAATGTTCTCAAGTGAGTGTTTGGTCAAGAGATCGGCATAAAGATCAGTTTTGCTGATCAAGTTTCTGAAAGGCACATGCTTCGGGCACACTCTTGAGCATGTGACAATTAAGCAGCCACACTATTACGCTAGCTGCAGCTGTCAGCGGGAGAATCTCGAGTCCAATACAAAAGACTCTGCTATCCTGAATATCTATCGTTTTCGCTTATCGAGAAACAACTTTTACTAAATATATATTAAAAATATTAATATATCCGAGGGGCCGTTTGGATCTCTTTATTTTGGGAGAATTGAAATCTACTCAATGGATTAGGCTATTTGGTTTGGAATTTGAAATTCCATAACTTTCCCAAGCTCACAAATAAGTCTATCTCAAATTCATAGGGTGGAAGATGCAAATGAATTCTATAGATCACTATGCTATAATTCTATTCTCCAGCTTATAACACACTCTTCAACTCATTTTCATACAATAGAAATACAACATATAAGTATATCCCTTATATGCATTACAATAAATATAAAAATGTATTCCATACACAACTATATTAGCTTAATTTATCTGTCTAAATTATAATTATTAGAATAAATTCAATTCGAAGGATCCAAACGGGCCCTTCTTGGAAAGATCTTTGAATCTAATTTTTTAATAAATTTATTTGGAGATACAATATTGCATATATTTTTTACAAATCGAGTTAAACTTGCGGCACACACACCAACGGCAACAGTTATTTCAGGACGGATGGAGTACGTTCTAAAAGGAATGTCAGTCTCACTTAACTTTTTTGAGAAGTTAAACGTTCTCAAAGTTAATTAAATATATAGGAAGGATAGTAATATTTTAAGTTCATTTTGTGATGAAATCACTTGTGAGGGGAAGCTTGTCCCGTTCGCCCTTGTTTTTGTCCTTACGTAGCTTTATTTTTATCATTTCTTTTTTGCACCTGCCCGTTGACCTGTAGGCTGCAACCTTAAGAACCCGAGCGTGGCCCGCGAGGCTCAGCTACTCGTAACCGAAGGTCGTAGCAGGGTGTGATGGGTCGGGAGGCTAAAAGCGCAAGTTACGTAGGGTAATCAAATGAACGGAATGCCCTTTCGTTTGGGCGACGCCCTTTTATTTGGACGAAAAGTGTTACTATATGATAGTAAAAAATGGTGGTATCACACCTCCGTGGAGCCCCCGAGCGACCCAGGCCGAGAGTGCTCGGGCTAGAGCGCTCAAGCATTGAATGGAAAATAAACGGTAAGACCGAGCTTTAGGGAAAGAAACGATGTAACTGTTCGATGTTCCATGTGTTGGTGAGAACGTTGCCGTTGTCGTCCTTTAGTCGGTAGACGCCTGGTCGGATCACCTTGGTCACCGTGTAGGGTCCTTCCCATGGTGGAGAGAGCTTATGTTTCTCCTTGGTTGACTGGGTCCTTAGGAGTATGAGATCACCAACCTCGAGGATCCTTCCCCTGATTTTTCTTTTATGGTACCTGTGGAGAGTTTGCTGGTAACGAGCGGAGCGGATGACGGTTGTCTCATGAGCCTCCTCGAGCAGGTCGACCGCATCCTACTGAGCCTCCGCAGCTCGGTCTCGGTCGAAGGCCTTTACTCTTGGGGCACCATGATCGATGTCGGAGGACAACACTGGTTTGGCTCCGTATGCGAGGAAGAAAGGGGTGAACCCTATGGACCGGTTTGGGATCATTCTTAGGCTCTAGAGGATTGCTGGGACCTCTACAACCCATCACCCGACATACTTTTTGAGTCGGTCAAAGATGCGAGGCTTGAGTCCTTAGAGGACCATGCCATTGGCGCGCTCGACCTGACCATTAGTACGCGGGTGTCCGATCGAGGCCCAATCAATCCTAATGCCGTATCCATCATAGAAGTCCAGGAACTTCTTTCCGATGAAGTTTGTTCCGTGGTCGGTGATGATAAAGTTAGGGACATCAAACCGATAGATGATGTCGAGGAAGAACTTGACCGCCTCTTTCGAGCGGATATTGGTGATGGGCTTCGCCTCTATCCACTTGGTGAACTTGTCCACCACCATGAGTAGGTGAGTGAAGCCACCCGGGGCCTTTTTGAGGGGTCCGACCATGTCGAGGCCCCAGACCGCGAATGGCCAGGTGATGGGGATGGTCTGAAGTTCCTGCACTAGCAGATGAGTCTGTCGAGCATAGAACTGGCATCCTTCACACCTATGGACCACCTCCTCTGCATCTCGCAGCGCAGTGGGCCAGTAAAAACCTTGGCGAAAGGTTTTCCTGACCAGCGACCTTGGGGCCACGTGATGTCCACAGATTCTGGCATGGACTTCGAGGAGAAGTTGTTTCCCCTGGTCGGTCGGGATGCACTTTATGAGCACTCCTGATGGACTTTGCTTGTAAAGTTCGTTACTAATGGTGACGAACGTCTTGACGCGTCGAGCGATTCGTCGCGCTTCAGTCCTTTCCGGTGGAAGAACCTCCTCGAGGAGGTAGGTGAGCAGTGGTGCTCTCCAATAGACCGGATCGAGTGCCATCACGATGATGTCGCCGGGCGACGTTGCCATGGAGGCACCAAGGTCGGAGCCCCCAAGCACTCGGTCGGGGATGGGGCACGTCAGGGGGTCAGTGCCCTCGAGTGCCAGATTGGTGTTGGAGCGCGTCTGGGTCGGACCCTCTCGGATGCGGGCAGACGGCTCGTGGATGTCGTTTATAAAGACCCCGTCGGTGGGCGGTTCCCGTCTGGCCACCAATTTTGCGAAGAAATCGGCAGCGTCGTTGTCCTTTTGAGGGATATGATGCAGTTTGATCCCTTGGAACTTGTCCTCGAGCTTGCGCACCTCCTGGCAATACACCACCATGAGAGGGCTCTTGTAGGAGGACTCCTTCATGACTTGGTCAACGACCAACTCTGAGTCACCACGGACATACAGCCGCATGGCGCCGAGGTCGACGGTGATGCGCAGTCCATTGATGAGGGCCTCGTACTCTACAGCATTGTTCAGGGCTAAAAAATGGAGACGGATCGCGTAGCGGAGCCTGCTCCCATTCGGGGAGATTAGAACCACTCTAGCTCCCAAGCCGAGCGCCACGACCGACCCTTCGAAGTACATCGTCCAGTACTCATGGGTGACATCAGGGGTCAGGAGCTGGACTTTCGTCCATTCGGCGATGAAGTTGGTTAGAGTCTGAGACTTAATAGCGGTGTGGGGACATACCTAATGTCGTGGCCCATGAGCTCGAGAGCCCACTTGGAGATTCGACCGGTGGAGTC